TCTTTTGTTTGCCGTGTTCACTGAGAGACAGTGGGTAAATTAAATATCATTTCATATGCATACGATATGGAAATTTCACGTCTGTCCTTGGCAAACAAATGCTGATTTAAAAAACAGAAAAACAATGCACTCCTCCATAACTGAATGATGTTCTAAGGCAGGGTTGCACAATAAGGAGATCACGATCTACCGCTAGATCACGAGGAATTCAAAAAGATAGAAATATAAATGTAATGTTAAGTAGTGACCATATACTGTAGAAATTAAATCATATTGAATCATACAGGTACATAAATTAATCAGTACCCTTACATATAAGGTATAAATAAAGTATGTTTATGTGAATAAATATAAATGTAATGTTTTCAGTGTAGGTAGATCACATTTGAATATTAGCTCCCAAGCTAATACTCGATGTATAATACATTTTTAGTTCATATAAGTAAACAAATATTTAATGTCATCAGATCATTTCAGCCTTTTTCAGTCAAAAACTGTGGTAACTTTTATTGTGATGTTGTTCTAGATTTGAAAAGAACAAATGAGAAACTGACCAGTCCGTTTTCTGCAACGTAGGTAGGTAAACCACTGACCAGCGCCCAGTGATCTTCCGGAGGATTCCTGAGTGTTAGGATTAGAGTGGAAATGTTATCCATGTCACCATCATCATCATCATCATCAACAGGCCAAATCAATGTGTTTGTTCCAGTAGTAGAGTCCAGTCCAATGGAAGGGATTGGATGTAATAGGATTTACAGATGACTGTGTCCGGATCATTGTGCAGTGAATTTCTTGGATGGTGGTTATACTGCTCATTGGATTCACTGGTCCAGTGTTTATGCCCCAGGCGTTTGATATTGTCTTATTAGCTGTGATTTAGATTATGTCAGGAGGAGACGACATTGTCTCTGTGTGTTATTTGGCCGGTCATTGTTTCTGGCAGACAAAGTAATGACCACTGTCCACACACTTGATTAAACTCCCGTGACTCACGGTATGACTTTGATTTCCTCCTTGCCGTGGAGGATGTAGTCAATCACTTTGTAGAAGATGATTTCCTGTAGAGGGAGGAAAAAAAAGTCAGAAAAGTTATATGGAAAGACCTGTGACTTAAAAAAGTTTTAAATTGGAGTGGTTTCTAATACTTTGGATTATATGTGAGAGACAGGTGGTAGTCTTCAAATTAAAGTCTTTACTAATTTTTACTACATTAAATCCATATGGATGGTCAAATCCCATCCATTCATGTCGAGTACTTTGTATTTCTAATCAGACATAGTAAACGGAGGAGGATTTGTTATTTGTTTAATTGTTGCAGTCTGCTGGTTAACACACTAGACTGTTCAATAAATGTTAGTCTCGTTCGGACCACGTCTTGGACAGTGCTTTAAATACCGGCCATTTGAGTGATTAAGTTTGACACCCTGCTGTAGTGTTTGTTGAAAGGGTGATTATTTCCTCACTCTGCCATCAGGGGTTTTTGGTCCATCATATGGAGGAACTTCTCCCATCAGTACAGGCCACAAGTCAAAGAACTCCTACAGGAAAGAAAGAAAACAACCAAAAAAAGCTTAAGATTGGTCTCTCCTCAAAGTTTTTTGCTCTATGTGTAAAAATGACCAACCATGAAATGTCTACTCTCATCAGTGCGTGCAGTATTTGTGTCTTTTTAAATGACTCGTACCAGATTATTACTAACATATGCTAACTTCACTCCAATCACAGAATTACACTGTGATGTGCAGAAATCACATTATTGAATTATAGTCACCACCAGGTGGTCTGTTTATAGAGACACTGCAGAAGCAGATTTATAATTTAAAAAAGTGAAAACTTCATCTTCGTCTCTTCCTAAAACACCAAAGCCACGATCATGTTCACACGAGTTTCCAAATTCCCGAGACTTCAGAGTGAGATATTTTCTTTCCGTTTCTCAGGTGCTTTGTTCATGAAGTCGACTGACGTATAAGGACGGCCATCTGTGCATACAGACAACAAGTGTAGCAGGTGTTGGAATCAAACTGGCAGCTGCTGGTAATTAGCTGACAGCTATATCCAATATGACAGATTAGACTGAGGACAGAACTGTTCTGATGAGAGACGACACATAAGGATTACTTAGTCCATGGTAGACATAGTACCTAGGGTCAGTATGGTTTATCTTTCTGGTTAAAAATTGATTAGTCAGTGTTAACCAATATTTTTTTTTCTTTTCCCCTTCATAGACTGATAGAGAAGCAGGAAAAAAAATTGAAAAAAGAACACTGATTTGGATTATAAATATGCTAAGAATGCATTCATTAACATGCCACAATGATATTTAAAAAAAAAAAGATTTAACATCGTGACTGATTTATGTGTTTAAGAATGTATCAAATAAAAAAGTTAATGAGACAAAATGAATGGAAAATGATCAAAACTAGTTACAATAAATGAAACATTCCAATGTTAGTGATATTACTAAAATTGTATGTAATATTACAGTACTGTCAATATTTCAGGAATTATTATCAGTATTAGGAGTACTAAAATATTGTTTATATAAAAATATAATTTGTATATTATTATTGTTCTTATTTATTATAATATTTATCATATAATTATTGCTGTTGTTGTTGTTATTTATTTTACTTAAGTTGTGGTTCAGTGATGCTCACTCTAGGACACTTTATAATACCTGGGAATCGAACCCAACACCTTGTGGTGGGTGCACATCCTCTACAGTTTTTGTTTAACAAATAATAGGTGTCCACTAATGCCCTGAAATATTCACTGTTATCATGCAGTTGGTGTCATGAATTTTTAAGCAAAGTATTGCCTCTCCTAAAACAGGAGAAACAACAACAAAACTCATTTTTAAAACAGACTTTTTCCCCCGTGGAGAACTGAGAAGGCCACAGTTTTAGTTTCTTTTGCTTGTTTATATTTTTGTCTTTTTCTTTGAGTGTTTATTGGTGTCATTCCACCTTGGTTTTGGTCATGTCCAGCAGGCCCACAGAGTAGCGATCACAGTTGAGGAAAGCTCTGACGGTGTACAAAGCCTTGTGAAACTGTCTCTCTATGTCCGTCAGCTCTTCAAACACCTTGCTGGCTGACCACAGCAGCACCTGCACCACACAGAGGACAAGAGCAAAACATCTCCAGTTCCTCCACACTTACAATTTTAAACTATTTTAGGTCTCTTTCTTTTTTTTTTAACAGTTGCCAACAGTGGGTTCATTATCACGTTAAAAAGTGCAACTATAGTACAGTACTCGTACAGTTCGAATCTTTTTATGTCATTGTTTCCTGGTTTTAGAGCTCAAGGGAAGGACAGAAAGAAGCTATTGATATGCTAACAGATGCCGCTGCTAGAGGTTAGCCAAAAGTTAGCCAAAAGATGAGATCATTGACAGAAACTGTGAAAGATGGGTGTAGAGAAATGAATCAGTTTTCAGGCTGCGTCTTGACCCAACTTTCCGCTGCCTAATTTTTACAACTCTGCCAATGCTAACATCATGCTGGTACCGTCCTATGCTGACTCATTCAACATCTGGTAAAAAACATAGTGTTTAATACACTTGAGGTAACACACTAACTTACCTTCTTTTGGAATTTAGATTTATATATTTTTTTAATTATAATGTGTCTGGTACACAAAAAGTTCTATGACTTCTAGATGAATGTTATACAGCGACATAGAAAAACATATAACATAACAATAACAACATTCAGAGGAAAAACCAATAGATTCTGGATCGAGTAAATACAAACGTACATATGAAACAAAACCATTTACTGGACAGTAAACAAAGCAAAAGCTTTTTCATATAATAATCTATTATTTGACTTTGAAATTTGTAGTAATTGATGGGAAATATATATTTTTAAAATTTGTGTTTGTCCTGACCTGGCCCCTCCTGGTCTCACAGTTGTGCAAGTAATTCAGGTGGAAAACCCTCAGAACCAGGTTAGCAAAGTTCAGGTACTTCTTCAGGGTCTAAAAGAAAAGTGCACCGTGGAAAAAATATATTTAAAAAACATTATTGAAGGAATAATATTCAATGGTTTATGATTTATTTTTCAAAACTTTTTTGGAAAAAACTTGTGCTGAACATTCCGACTAAGTTACCTCTTCGTCCTTGTCAGTGAAGCAGTTCCCCTCTAACTTGTTGACGGCCATCATGACGGCCACCATGTCCTTGCCGTTCATGATTGGTATGGCCAATGCATTCTTGGTCTGATACTCAGTCAGCTCGTCCACAAAGTCACTGTAGTTGGAGTGCTGATTAACAAGAGGAAAGGGTTTTTGGATTGTCATTAATTATCCTGCTCCTCAGCTCCTGCCCCCTTGACAAGCTCCAGCAGCAGCTTCGACGACGCACCAATTCTATCCATAAAAGCTCGGAGCAAAGGCTTTCTATTATTCACAAAACCCAAGGTCCTGGCTGCACTCCACCTACTGCTCCCTCTGTACAGCAGGGGTTATCAATTGTGCTCCTCTTGGGGGTTAGACAGACGCAGAGCGGGCTCATTAACTGGTGAGGAGGAACAAAATCTTGCAGGCAGCGACCCTCGGGGGAACTGCTGAATCATTTGGGTACGATAGAGACCGAGGTTTTGTTCAGCTCTTTTTTCAGGTTCAGGAAAAAAGTTGGAACATTGTGCTACAGCACAGGTGAAGACACAACAGAATAATAATAATAATGATAAAAAGGCTTAAAGGGAAAGTGTTCAGGAAAACAACCAGATCAAGTCAACATTAGGCTTTTAAAGAGGACTTAAAGACTTGCTGTAAATGTAACCTCTGTGATTTTTTTAATTATTATTTTAAGACTAGATTTTTCTCACTCAACAACTGCAATTTTGATAGGTGCCATAGGAGGTGAAAAAATCTTTCTCCCCGTCACAGTAGGTGAATTTAAGCACTGATTTTGATCACGTACACAGAACATCAACAAAATAAATAACCTTAGAGAAAACAGGGCTAACATGACAGCACGGAGGAGATGTGCTCTAGTGCTGAGTCTGTGGAAGTGGCTCAAAGCTCTTATGACCTCTGCTAGTAATCTGGGATCATTTTAATTCAGGACAGATTAACCGACCTCCTCTGTATCATGCTCCACTGACGCTCTCCATTTCATTACATGTACAAACACAGGGATAGAGTAACCACCTCAAATCACCAAAACAGAACAGATATTAGACCAGCGCAGCCCAGTGGATGTGAATAATAAATTTATGTTTAAATAAGAAAGGAGAGATGTAGGGGGAAATGATGCCAGCTGCTGCTTAGCACATAATTCTAGGAAATAAAATAATCCCTGCCTGTGTATACCTATGAGAATCCTGCGGGGAGGGAGTTTGACTGTGGGATGTCATGGAGAGTGCACGAGCATGGTGAAGTCACTCAATGATATGGCAAAATATGAGGCCTTTGATATTGTTCCTGTTACTATGCATTATGACAACAGCATTAAAGTGTTTTGACATCCTAGACTTTCTATTTTGTGACATAAAGAGGTCAGCTGGTCAATGTTAGGTTTACATTTTTGAGCTTATAAATACCTACATCTAAATACACATAATGATTATTTTTTCTCTCTGATTCTTCTATAGAATATATACATCTTATTTTCCAGCTGCTTCAATAACATCATGATTTGCTACTGAACAGTAAAATGTCTCCATCCCCCCTTATCTCTCTCCTCCTCTGCTGTTGCACCGGTCATCCCTATGTCCCCAATCACAATGACCGTAGAATCTTCTGTCTTTATTCTTCCTGCCTGGATTCTCCATCTCCAACATCTATTGTACGTGACCCTATTGTCTCTCCTCATCACATTCCCAGTTCATCTTCACCTTACTTCTCCAAAGGGTTCAACCACAGTCTATCACCTCCAGCTATACTTCTTTCGTCTTTTTGAGCGTGCCGCTATCTTCAGACCATACAGTCATAGCATCTCTCACTACTGCCTTGCATCCCTTCCATTCAGTTAGCTATGTTTGTCTAGTTTATTGACAAGACATGTTTGTGTTCATGTGCAAAAACCTTACATAACTGAAACACTGGACAAACTGTAGGTCTGAACACCACCAATTCTTGGTGGCTCAACAGCAGCTTGAGGCTGCGTATGTCCGCAGCAGAAACGACAGATAAAAACCGCCTTTTTTTGTAGAGCTTTTTCTTATCTCGCATGGGAAAATATGATGGAAACCAATACAATGAGAAGGTCTTGTAATCCTTCATCAGTTATGCGGAGTGGCCAGCTACCCTATTAAGTTTAAATGTCACAATAACAGTTATCGCAGGTATGAAGAGTGTGGTGGGTTGGTGGGGGGGGGGTGGGGGTGTCGGTGTAGCTGCAGTGGCATGTCACACCTGAAATGTGCGTGGGAAAAAGGCTTGACAGCCATTTTTTTTAAATGTCACAGTTATTGCCTGTAATGAGACTGGGTTGGCTTCAGGTTTGAGAGCGAATTACGAGCCGCAACAGCAACTCCACGGGTACGGTGTTATGGCGCTCTCTTACGGACAAAGTGAGGCAGAGCAACGACTTACAGCTCTTCCAAAACATACTGTACATAATCTAACCTATAGTTCCTTTTGCTTTAAATTCAATTTTTTTTCTTACCCATCATCCTTTAAGGTAGATTTTACAGTTTTGTATACATTTCATTGTAATTTATCAAACAGTCCTCAGTGGTTACTTGTAAAATAAATGAGTACAAAAACAAGACACATCACATGCAAAACAGGAAGTATAAACAGCTGTTTGTATTCACCTCAGATACATTGGGGACGTTGACCATCTTCTTGGAGGTGGCCACATGTCCCACTATGCCCAAATCCAGTGGGTAAACAATCTCACTGTCGGGTGGCACCAGACAGTCATCTAGTACTGCGTCTTTGTGGACATTGAACAATCTGTAAAATAATGTTGATCACATTTATATGAGGAAAGCAAACAACAAAGTTTAAATGTGGTCACAAAACTGCACTGAGTGAATTTTAATTATATTAGCTTATGAGGCAGGAATGTAACAAAAGTTTTCCCATTACTAAAAAAAAAAAAAAAACAGCTTCTTCAAGATTCTCTCTGTATTACTCCGTTACAGCACTGTCACCTCATGTATTTACCTTTCCTGACTTCACTTGTGCTACAGACTTCGATTTCTTTACAAGTAAAACAACAAGTTCCCCAATTACCTTGTGGCCAACTCAGCCACACCGTTTCTCTGTCGATACATGAAGAGGCTCATTCTGTCAGCCCTCAACATGAAGCTGAGATGCTTCATGAGGTTGAAAATAGACTTCTCCATCTGCAGATTGTCGTGAATGTCCCGCACCAGGTCAAAGAGGATCTCACTCTCTTCCACCATTGTCAGGTCATGGAACTTGCTAATGTCCACTGCTGTCTTCCGGTTGTTGTCCAGGAGGTCTGAGATTATCTTAGGTCGGAAGTTGGTGTCATAGTACTGCTTGGCAAACTGTGGGTTGGCATCCAGAAACTGCTCGGCTGCTGCTGCATCCACCATGGCTGCTGCAGACAGCAGGACAGACAAACACCCAGAAGTATCAAATCAAAGTGTTAAATCAAAGAGCTGAGCAAACGTACAGAAAGAACAATTGATTTTTTTTTGTCTCCAGCAACTCTTGAAAAAAAAAAACAATGTCTTTAATCTCAACCAGGTCAAGTTAGTGGCGTAGATAAAAGCTGTCTGACCGTGCTGTTTTACAGTTATCATTACTGCAGACTCAAAGCCTCTCCTTCCATTTGTGATCGACACAGGATGATGGGACTAAGCTGATTGTTTAAAATAGCATCCAGACAGACAGACATACAGAAATACATGTTTGAGATTTTGAGATTATTTTCTGCATCAACCTTGAGCCACAAAAAAAGAAAAACAAATAATTTCTCTATAAGTTAAATTGACCGTGCAGCCCATTACTAGGCCAGACAAGGTCTAAGATACAGACAAATTATATATAATCTTATTAGAAAGAGAAATTAGACTAAATAATTTAAATTTAAAGTTATTAAAGTTTATAGAGAAAAAAAAATGCTTTTTAAACATGCAATGACCTAAAACCCTACAATTCTGAGCAGAGACATCAAATTCCCAGAAATCAAAGTCTCTGGCTTCTTTATTTTGCATAATCCTTGACTGTTCCCTATGCCAGCTGGTAGAAATGTGACTGCTGTTCATACTGCCTGCCTGGCAGCTCCATCTCCACAGTTCTTAGTCTGATACTGTATATTCACTATCTGTTCTGAGCACATGCTCAAAGCATTTTAACCTTGGTTCTGTTACTTCATCTCTAAACCGCTCAGCTACGGATGTCTCTCTGATGCACTTTATTCTGATATGCTACTCTGGTAATTTGATGTGAAGTCTCAACATCTTCAACACTGTCTCCTCAGTTTCAGATTCCTTTTGTCTTTACAAAAACATACTGGTACTGAAACAATTGTCCATGTAATTCCTATAAGCAGAGCAGCAACTCAGTGACTTTAAAGCCAGCATGAGTGTTGGAAAGATGAAAAATTGGTCTCAGCTGTACAAAACCAAAACATTCCTACCTGATTATTTGCTGTGAGATTATTTGTATTGCTTTCAGCGTGTGTGTAATCCCTCTGTCCTGCTGAGCAAGACTCCGCAGGTGTCTGAGAAGAGAAAACAGATTAGTAGAGTGTCTTTGAATGGTCATGTGTGTACATAATCCTGTATCCAATTATGATGCAGAGATTTTAGCAACATCTTATTTTTGGTCACCAATTATCCAATGACTTAAAAAAGGTTGACATTTACCTTTATAATTGACCTTGTCTTATTTTATTTACTATTCATAATCGTTTATTGTTCGTTGTTCCTTAAAATGACTGTATTACTAAATAAAGGAGAGAGAGAGAGAGAGAGAGAGAGAGATCGTTATGCTCAACCTCCCTAGAGATAGGTGACTTTTTCTGATGCTGATAAACAGTTAAAGGTGACAACCTTTAGTTGTAGTAGTTGTAGTATAAATAATCTACAACTGTAGATTATTTATACTAGCCAGAGACTTTGATTTCTGGGAATTCGGTATCTCTGCTCTCATCAGTCTCAACACCCCCTTCCAAAAAAACATGATGCTGAGATGTATAAATACTACATAAAACCACATATGTGTAATATCTGCAGGAAAACTGCGGATTTAGTTAGAAATTTAGAGAAAGTTTCGTCATCCAATGAGGATCAGCTATAAGGCAAAAAAAAGTAAAATTATAGTATTCATTACAGACATTTTAGTTAGTTCAGTGATTGAAAAAATAAAGTTCACTGTTTATTAATTTTATTTATTTATATAATGATATGGAAACAAAACAAATTCGATTTTTAATACTGTATGCGGTAATCGAAAAATATTTTAGGAACCCGGCAATATTATTATTATTATATATATATCGGTCTTATTCGTATTCCTAAAGGTATTATTATTTTTTATACTTTTTGTTGTTATTTGCATCGTCATTTTTATTTTTTTTATTTTATTTTATTTTTATTATCATGAAGCCAGTGATGCATCTTTACGCACAGACCATCTTTGTCGTAGGTTACGCGTGTGACGCAGAGCGCCTTGTGTGACGTAATGACGCACAGAGCACCAGCCTGTTGGACCGGCTGACTGAAATGAGTTCGAGGCGGAATTAGGACTGTAAGACTTTTCACAGGTTTCAAACGCCCTTTAACGCAGCAAGTTACAGTCCGGGTGAGTACATCTAGTCTTCAAAAACGATATGTGACTTTTCTTACTTTTTGACAATTGATAAAAACGACTTCCTTAAAATTTTAGTTGCTGTCCACGTTGACAACTTGTTTACAATGACTTACATTCATGCTGCTGCACCGCGGTCCGTCTGTGTGCTAACCTGCGGTATGAGATGTATCTCATGTGATGAAATTTGAACCATTTTTTGCAGATTTCTCTTGTGTTCTATCATTAATAAAGCAGTGTGGAGTGATCTGTTTATTATTGGAAACCAAGCGGTGAAGTTATTATATTCCGTTTATCACATAATTTAATAATTCGCTTCAAACTTCTTCTGGAGAATGTTCTTAGCTGAACCGAAAACGATTAAATACTAAGTATCGTAACACTCTTAAAATCAAATTATATAGTTGCCATACATTCGAACATTAAATCGAATATACGTGTCTAATAGATAATACCCGACCTGAAACTCTAACACTATTTTTCTAAAGTCTAACGTCTTGTTTTGCTTACTTTATTGATTTAAGTTGTTTGGACCAATACCGGTACATTTGGTGTAACAGTACTTATCTGTTGCTTCAATGTCTGACTGAAAAATATGCCGAAACATCTATTGCTTTTTAAAGAAAATATTTTCAAGATTATGATGTAATCTTAAAGAAGTCATCTGGACGTGTTGACCAGTGACTTTATCGGTAGTTGTCTTTTAGTCATGACTATATTCGTGTTTACGTAATGGTAAAGGTTCTCAAAAAGCATGGACAGTAAAGGAAGAACGAGAAATGTGAATGCTAAGTTTAATCATTTTTTTATTACTTAGTTACACAGTAGTTGATTGTTTTATGTTTCACTGCACTTCATTTGAAAACAAAAATCACATTCCAATGTTTTGTCCTTGGGCTGTGACAGCATTATATTTCTGCTTGTGTTGGATCATTGTTATACATAAAGACAGTACTGAGTCCTTCTGGCACTTCTGGTCAACAGTGTATTCAAGTGAACACACAAAGCCATTACAAGCTTAACATCAGGTTTGTAAAATAGAAATGGAGGGATCTACATTTGTAATCACTACAGAAGAAATAAAAGAAAAAGACAAAAAAAAAAAAAAAGATAGCCAACAACATGCATATTTGCATGTTGTTGGTTTAAAATAATGGATACAGTGCTGTAGAATATCAATACAATATTTGGAAACAAAATATTGCAATATTTCAGTATATTGATATTTTTCCTACACCACTATCCAATTTTACCAATTTTTATTTATTTTGTTTTAGTGATTACATATATATCTTCACGAATGACGTTCTCTGCAAATGTATTATTGTAGAGGATGTGACCTTAACACTGAAAACAGGAACAGTCAAATCTGTAGAGGAGGAAATACATTTACTGACTTAAGCAAAATGTGAGAAATACTATATGTCATTTGATAGTGTGCTGCCTCCATGTCACTTCATGGGATCCTTTTAGAGATCATACGTCAAACACAAGGCCTGTGAGCTGACATTGGACTGCCACCTCATTTTGTGTGGCCCACCAGAGCTTAACATACTTGTTGGTTGTTTTAAATAAAACACAATTGTATAGAGTTCATTCTAATGTTTACTGAATTGGTTCATTGCAGTGTATAATAAATGCTTTGCCATTTTGTTGGCAAAAGCTGTTGTAGTCTGTTCAAATTCAGTTTTTATGGTGAGAACATTCTCAGCACTAGACTTGAATAACTATCGATCCTGCTTGGACTGTTTTATTTTTGTGCCCCTTGAGTGATTGAGTTTGACACCTCTGTCTTAGAGGGTTCAGTGTGTAACATTTAGAAGGAATGTGTACATACAGCACATAGTATTTTTGATCAAATTATTAAACCACATAACAATTATATGGAGCACTTATGCAGCAGCTAAAAGGAAAACAGACAAACAGAGATTTTTTTAACAGATTCTTACTGAATATTTACATTTACTTTGGAATATAAAGTCCTCCAGACAGACAGTGTAAGAGTCCTATGTTTATGAGTTTTTAGTCTCTCTTTTAGGTTTGACTAGTTCTCCTGCCATTTAAATGTTCTTTTATCCTTAGAAATATTTAATTTAACCCAAACATTTTTTTCACATGCCTAGGGCCTCAATCATGATTCCTGACAGTAACTGTGGCATGGCGGCAGGAGGTGGAATAGAAAGTGACCTGCTGCAGCCTCTTGTTCTAGAGAGAGTGGAGAAAGAAGAAGAGAAAAGTTGCCAAACCGTCGTTCGACAAAGGCTAAAGAAACATTGCAGTTGCGAGTCAGAAACTGTTAAATCCAAAGTACTAGGCTTCTTCCCTATTGTGAAATGGCTACCAAACTACAAACTCAAAGAATGGATTCTGGGCGATGTCATGTCAGGAGTGATTGTTGGAATCCTTTTAGTCCCCCAGTCCATAGCTTACTCTTTATTGGCCAGTCAAGATCCAATATATGGTCTGTACACGTCCTTCTTCTCCTCCATCATCTACGCCGTCCTGGGTTCCTCTCGACACATATCTGTGGGCATTTTCGGAGTACTCTCTCTGCTGATTGGCCAGGTCGTGGACAGAGAGTTGGCTTTGGCGGGATACCTCCCAGAAAGCGACGGCAGAAGCTACGATGGCAACGACAGTGCAGTCCTGTTGGCAGGCCAGGGGAATGGCACTTTTGCGATGGAATGTGACAAAGGTTGTTATGCAATTATGGTGGGAGCTACAGTGACCTTTACTGCTGGGGTCTACCAGGTAAAACAAAAGATTTTCAGAGATCGTATAAAACATGATTTATACTATATTTGAAGTTCTCATGCTTACATTATTGTTCAGGTAATACATTTTTAAGTGGCTTTACTAACAGGTATCCTACTCTTTCTCTTAGGTGCTGATGGGGCTCTTCCATGTCGGCTTTGTTTCCATCTACCTCTCTGACTCACTCCTCAGTGGCTTTGCTACAGGAGCCTCACTGACCATCCTGACCTCCCAAGTCAAGTACCTTCTAGGTTTGCATATCCCCAGGCCTCAGGGTTGGTTCACCCTCTTCAAGACCTGGTACAGCATATTTGCTAACTTGGCAAACACAAACATCTGTGACCTAGTGACCAGTTTAGTGTGTTTGCTGGTGCTAATACCTACAAAGGAACTCAATGATCGCTATAAAGCTAAGTTAAAGGTATGTTTTATACCTTTATTCCATTCTATTTATGACAATTATCAGTCTCTGTACAACTCAGCTAAAGAGATAACCCTTTTTTGCTAATATTTTTCTACCCCAGGCTCCGATTCCCTTTGAGCTTTTTGTGGTGATCATTGCAACCATTGCGTCTCACTTTGGAAACTTTAATTCTGAGTTTGGTTCAAGTGTTGCTGGGGACATCCCGACTGGCTTCCTCCCTCCCCAGGCACCCTTGTGGTCGCTTATTCCCAATGTAGCTCTTGACGCCTTTTCCATCGCCATTGTGGGATTTGCCATCACCGTCTCATTGTCAGAAATGTTTGCCAAGAAGCATGGCTACACAGTGGACGCCAACCAGGAGATGTACGCCATCGGCTTCTGCAACATTCTGCCGTCATTCTTCCGCTGCTTCACCACCAGTGCTGCTCTGACCAAGACCTTAGTCAAAGAGTCAACAGGGTGCCAGACACAGATGTCGGGGCTGGTCACCGCACTGGTCCTCCTGCTGGTGCTTCTGGTTATCGCACCACTCTTTTTTTCTCTCCAAAGGTAAGCACGCACACACACACACACACGTTGAAAGTTTTTCATTTATTTCTTTTTTTACTTCACAAAATCATCCCAATGTAACAAACAGAGTCAAGAAGGCCAAGCTATAAGAACAAATTCACATGTGCAGGAGACAGTGCAGTTGTTAAAGAGAAAAACGTAACCTTGAGTTGCCTGCCAGGCCCCATGAATTTCCTAAAATAGTACTTGCGTCTTTAACTACTGCCTTAAGTCGTCCTTCCTGTTTGCCCCTCCTTATTTTCACTCTGTTCAAACACAGCTGTTTGTAGGATCTCACATGTACAATATTATCATTACATTTGTTTGATAATCTTTATGTGCGGCTTTGTTTCTTGGGTAATATCATTAAAATGTATTATTTACATTGTATATATATATATATATATATATATATATATATATATATGTGTGTGTGTGTGTGTGTATATATATATATTGTGTAAATATAACTGGTGTTGGGGAGTACAGCAAATATATACTTGGCGTGTGACATTTACATCTCTAACAGTACTCTTCAACCTTGACCATGACCTGGATGACTGAGAATCTTCATAGACATCCCATTGTTATCTACACAGCTAAATGCATGAATAGTAAATAGGCTGCCGTCAGTTTTCCTGAATCAAATGTTGGACTTTTTTTTAATACCGACTGTTTCCTGACTGTTCTTCAGGTTGTCATCAGAAATGTAGGCAGACGTCCATAGATTACCAGTTTGGTTTTACATTTTATGTATAAATTAATGGTTCTTTTTCTTCTTTTACACAGGTGTGTGCTCGCCGCCATCATTTTAGTCAACCTCCGCGGTGCTCTGCGAAAGTTCGCAGAAATTCCCAGCATGTGGCGGAACAATCGCATCGACGCCCTTGTCTGGATTATCACCATGCTCACCTCGTCGCTGATCAACACAGAGCTCGGCCTCTTGGTTGGGGTTCTGGTGTCAGTCTTCTGCGTGCTTGGTCGTACCCAGCGAGTCCAGGTCCAGGAGTTAGGTAGGACCAAAACCCACGAGCATTACGAGGCCTTGTTGTGCTACCGAGGCCTTCACAGAATCCCAGGCGTGGCCATCTTCAGGTACGAAGCTCCCATTTATTACGCAAACCAGAGTATATTCAAGAAGTCTTTGTACAGCTGTGTGGGGCTGGACCCTGTGAAGGAGAACACACAACGCTTAAAGTTCGAGATTAAGGAGAGTAAACAGCAGAAAGACATCAAAGATGGCCCCAACATGAAATCAGAGAGAATAGACCTCGATGAATACAGGGCTGTCTCCTTGAGGCCTGACCTAAAACAAGGTCCAGGCGTGTGCAACATAGTAATAGACTGCAGTACCATCCTGTTTGTTGATACAGCAGGAGTCAACGCTCTGAAAGAGGTTCGCAAAGATTACAGTAAACTTGGGATCCAGGTGGTTCTGGCCCAGTGCAATACCACAGTACTGGATGCTCTGGAAAAAGGGGGTTACTTCCCTGAAAAGAAGGACAGAGATGGAGTGGAAAACAACATTGTGTTCTACACAATCTCAGATGCTGTCAGTTACGTCCAAAGCCTCCCTGCAACTAATGGAGACTGCGATGCCAAATGCAGAAAAGATGATTCGTCCGTATAACGTGTTTAAATGAAATTCCCCTGATGCTAAATGTGCCTTACAATGCTCCTTTGATAGCAGCAGGTACAGTATTTAGGTAAATATGCATTGATTTATGTAATGGTTGACTATCTTGTATTTATACTGTTTACTTTAATAGATAAATAAATGAGGACAAACTAGTTAGTGCAGAACTTTTACACTAGATTTGCAATATTTACTTTCAAAGATTTCAATTCAAAATTAATTTAACATAAAACACTGTTTCTACAAACATAGAGTAACGTTTTTGGATTTATTTTTGCTAATTTAGCAGTTGTGTCCTTTTAGATATACTGGCCATGACCTCATTACAGTAGAGTGTGAAGACATAGAGGTGGCTATAATCCAGTGATTCACAACCTTTTTTGAGCCACTGCACATATTGTTAATAAAAAAACACAAAACAAATATGTCCCAAAAACGTTATGTAATAAAATATAAACTTCAATTTTCAATTTAGTCATGTACTTGCCCTGTATGGAACCTGGTCCTGTTTAGTTGAACTGGCAGAGACACACAGGAAGAACTCCTTCAACATCTGGCAGTCACTTTTTTTTTGTCGTTTTTGAAGCGATCCGCTGCCTTCTAGACGTAGAGTGCATAGACAAAAGAAGACAAATCATTTGCAACAAATAAGTAATAGTTTTCAGAACAGTAAAGGATCATTTTCCATGGCATACCAATTTGCCACAGCACTGTAGTTGGCAATCACTGTAACAATGACAATTGTCTATAAATACACATTTTTAAACTTTCTTTTTCAAATATACAATCAATAACTTGTACCAGGTGGACAGGGATGTTTATATTGAATTATTGATATTAGTTGAAATGTTAGAGAGACCAAATCTATTATCTTATAATCAATGAAATAACCAAACTGTAACATGATTATGAATGTACTGTTCTTTAGGAAAGAGCCATATTGTGATTTTTTTTTCTAATATATATATTTAACAATGTTTTTAGTTGATGTTAAGTGGGGAATTTCAGATCACATTTAAAAAGTGAATAAAGGTTAAACTACGACTGAGGGGGGACAGGTTAGATAAGATCCAGAGTCTGGAGTTAGTCTTCTTAATTTTTGTCCAAAAACCAACCGTTCTGTGCCTTAAAAGTTCATGTGTAAACTGTTATAATCAAAAGTATAAACTATTCTTTTCCAGAGGTTAATCTCATACACTCAGCTTTTCTTCTAAACCCGTTTTGAAGTAAATGTGCCTTTTTGTTGCACTACTTGCTAATGTTTGCCACCCATGTTTGCCCAAGTGGTGATAATAAGCTGACTTGTGTAGTTTTAAGTGACGAATAGTTTTGCGGTCACAGGTTGTGACTGGGTTATGTAATGGGTCACATAGAACTGATATCAGACATCCAGGAATAATGTTTACTCTCCTATTATTTCTGCAGGCAGGAAATGCATATATATATATATATATATATATTTATTACAAGCAGGTACTCTACTTTATGTGCAATGCATTCTCTTGATGCTTCTTGTTCACAACTCAGTTTTTAAGAAGTTAAACTTGTTTAAGTAAAAACCAGTTATCTGTGAAAGTGAAACTAGATTGTTCTATATGAGGTAAAATACGTTTTGCCTCGGTAAACTTTGTGTCTTTAATTTCGTGTTTGGACCAAGGCCAGTCCTTTCTTCAGTTAATAATTACACAATTACATTTCACTTGACGCACATACTTAATATTCAGGCTACTCTCATTGTTATTTAAATACACACAGGTGTGGTTACATGCCTGGGCATTGTAATTATTTTTCCGCAGTTTGTGCAGGAATAACTTGATGTTCTTGTCTTACAAGAAGATCATATGAACTTTAGAAAAGAACCCAAACTTGAAAGGTTCATTTTGTTCCCAAGTAACAAAAATAATAACTGCTACAAGTTAAACTTTGAACTTTTGAAAACAGATGGTAGGTAAACTGGAAACATGTTTGACACGTGTCGTTGCTTGAGTGCTACTATCAAATGATTACATTTTTTTTACTCTGTAGAAGGTTAACAGAAAACTTAATTGTGTTTCATTTTCCTTTTTTTCAATTTTCCTAAGATTTTGAGGTTCTGGGTCAGACTCGATGTGTCTTTGCGGGTGAATGTTTAGCATTTTTATCCAAGTGCAGGTCAGTTTTCTACTGTGTTTACTCCAAATGTTGTTTATCTAACCTATTATACTGTTGATAATATATATACATAAATAATATTATATTATAGTAGTAACCTGTGCCTTTTAGTAGAACATTGTCACAAGGTTATGCATCACATGATCAGTTATACACACAAGTTGTGAAATGCCTTGGGTCGATTCATAGCTGACATATTTAAGATTAAACAATATAATTGCAGTGCAATTATACAAGATATAACAGTTCCTAATGTGCAAAAGTGGCTAGTAACAGACACTGCCTTCATGTTGGAGCTGGGAAATATAGACCAAAAATAAGGCCAGGGTCAGGTCTGAATATAACTGATGCACTATTTCTAAGGAATACATTGGTCCATGAGTCTAGAATCCAGTACTGACCTGACTCCAGATCTCACACGTGGCAGTTTGAGTTATTAACAACTGCGTTACAGTGGACAGGTCAATGCAAATAGACTAGTCTTGGATATTCATGTGGGTAACTGCAAAGTCAATGCTTAATATAGTCATTTAAAGCTTTGTTGACGCCATGTCCTCACATGCAGCTGTGTTTACAGAACACTTATGACAGTTTCATGTCCGTGCAGAGGTAGGTGGGAAACAATTGTTCGCACTTGTACTTTGTTTAAGGCATTTTTCACCACCAAAATAAACAACAGCTTGACTGCCACCTCCACAACTAAAACTCTGACATTCAGCAAGCCGTTCTAAAACATATGACCCACAACATCGGCTTAAAAACTTAAAATTCTCCAACAGATCCAGGTTCAGCGTTTTAAGGGGATTCTAACAACAACGTGGTTCATGTCATTAAGGACAACTTTTAAAAAGGTTTCAACCGCTTGCATTATTTATTTATTACTTTGTTTAATTTGAGGGTGGAATACAGTCTAGTGATTACTGACTTTAAGCTCAGCCTCTAACTCTTATCTTTATCCCATTCGTCACTGTCACAGCGGGTGAAAAACGATACGTTTAATGACATGGGGCAGGTTCAGCATACACCAGGCATCTGGGGTTATCTGACGAACAACAAACTGACGCAGTGCAAGAGTTAACCCTCCCACCCTGACTCACCTTTAGAAACAGAAAAATTATTATGTTTTAAATTTACACAGCGAACCTTAGCAAAATATATACATTACTGGATTTTTAATAAAAACTTCTTTCGCATGTAATTCAGTAACTATATTCTGCCACTAGAGGGTAGCATTTATTTATTAATAAAGGGCTCAAATTCGAAACGGGATAGAATAGTGTTGGTTCTCCGCATTTATGTCTATTTCGATTCGAAAGACATAATTCAAATGTGCTTTTAAATATACATAATTTTGGGACAAAAAACAAAGCGGGGCAGCTGTCACAGTGACATGGAGAGCGCAAGATCAGTGTGGTGGCCAAATATTCGTGGTACATTGTACACATGGGATCTGCCCCAATGTATTTCAGGGTTCATTCCACTGGTCAAAAACCTGCTTATGAGGGGATTAGGTTGATTGGATTCTAAATTGAACACAGACGCCTCCGCAACTGTCTAAGAAATTGATAGATGGAAGGGATGTTTTATCATTTTGGGTTTTTTTTTTGTTTTTTGTTTTTGTTTTTTTGACTTCAAAAAATGTATATTTTTATCTAGCTTGAAAAAAGTCTAATCTAAACAAAGGACTTACTCAGGTAAATGATAATGAAGAGAACTAATTAATTTTATGCCCTGTTGGTTTCCTGAAATTGAGCTTATTGCAGCAGCAGCAACACAGGACTTGGCTGCCACGTGACCTAAAAAGTTCTTGTCTAGTACAAAGCAGCAAACGTTTACTCATTGCCAGGCTCCATATTTAGTACCACTGCTAAACATAATAGAACTCTGATAGAGAGAAAAAGTCACAAATATCCGTGTTTCAATTTCAATAACGTTTATCACGTACATTAGATGTGGTTAGCTAACAGTAAATTAATTATAACATTTGTTATAGGGTCCCACAAGCAGACCATAGTAAGGATACTGATAATGCCATCTGTCAGACATTCCTCCCATCTTTTCCATGTGCCAACCAAAACTTGACCACTACTGCAGCAGTGAGGTGTCATTAGCAAGAGCAATTAACACAATAAGCCAAGAAGTGTCTGTAACGGCCTGCTATTAATTCTGAGCCATGACTGGACTGGTTCAAGTGGCCTACGGGGAGTTGTAAGGGAAACTCTGTGCGGCAGCAAGAGCAGATGGCGTGGAGGAGGTCACGAGCAGCCACATGCATACACATTGGGAAAAATCTCACACTCTTGACCGTGCACAAGTGTAGAAGATCCTCACTCAGACACACAAAGGCTCTCTCACGTGCATGATGATGACTGCTTTGAGACTTCCTACGACCATGTCAGACACCCACTCAATCCTCTGTCTAAATATTAATGGATTCTTGGGATTACGGTAGGATGTCACATGCTGACACTTACTGAACCACCGGAGGCTGTGGTCACACGCCGGCCAAAGGAATGGTGGTCAGACAGGCAGCCTGTGGGATGATACCCCAAGGCATCGAGAGCCCTGCTGTGCTCCATTCATCCCAAGATCAACAGCCAGAAAAACTTGTTCATTAAAAGTCACACTTTAGACTCCTCCAGGTATCCATGGAGATGTGACTCATTTGACCACTTAAAAAAAGGAAAAACAACACAAAAAGTCACACTTGATTCAAAGCCGTACATTGTTCTAACAGCCAGAATATATGGGAACGACGTGCTGTTTAACCTTTCATGTATTAATTAGCTTCATTAGGATGGAGTTTAATCAATAGTCAAGGTCAGCTGGTACGATTCTCTTTGTTCACAGTTGGTTTTATTAAGACCAAATGGGAAAATAGCAGGAGAGTGTTTGCTCCCTGGGAGGTTAATGAGATTCTCTTTACCTTAAAGCTGACTGTTGTGCGCACTGTTTAATCACATACAGTAAATTGACTGTAGACCAAAGATGGTTCACTACCAGCTTTGTTTTTAACCTACTGCATTTACTTCTGTTATTTACATAGCAGCTGTTAATAGAGGTGGGTAAAAATATCAATTAATCAGTGCATTGTAATTCTTTCACCCCAATTCAATATCGATTAATCGATTAATAATCTTCTAAATCGATTCAAGCCTCTTGTGTTACAGGACAGCGCAGGATCAGTGGAGAATCAGTGCTATCTGCTGTCAGAGAGGGACTTTTTATTTTTATGGATTTTTTCACAATGGTAAGGCTATAGTAAGACATGTTTTGGGTGATTTTTGAAATATTCATATAAAATACTTTTTGGACTTTAAAACACAAAATATTCACTTGGCAGCATGTTTTAGGACCTAATCTTGCATTTTAGGGCATTTCGGGGACTTTTTATTTTTATGGATATTTTCACGATGGTAAGGCTATAGTAAGGCATGTTTTGGGTGATTTTTGAAATATTCATATAAAATACTTTTTGGACTTTTAAACACAAAATATTCACTTGGCAGCATGTTTTAGGACATAATCTTGCATTTTAAGGCATTTCGGGGACTTTTTATTTTTATGGATATTTTCACGATGGTAAGGCTATAGTAAGGCATGTTTTGGGTCATTTTTCAAATATTCATATAAAATACTTTTTGGACATTTAAACACAAAATATTCACTTGGCAGCATGTTTTAGGACATAATCTTGCATTTTAGTGCATTTCGGGGACTTTTTATTTTTATGGATATTTTCACGATGGTAAGGCTATAGTAAGGCATGTTTTGGGTGATTTTTGAAATATTCATATAAAATACTTTTTGGACATTTAAACACAATTTTTGGTAATGTCGTCAATTATCTATTTTATTTCTTTCCGCGCACATCTAAAATTTCTTTCAGCATTAACGATAATCTACACTACGGGACCTTTAAATTTACGTAATTTCCTCTCGATAGTTTGCGCATGCGTAGCAAGAGACGGCATTTAAATTAAACAACAATTTAAATTAAACAACAATTGATCTCGTTTATCAAACAAA